TACTAAATATAGAGAGACCAGAGATAACACCAGATTCGTATGATAATAAATAATTTTTGAGCAAATCTAATTTTTCATAAAGTTATTATTCACGAGAAAAAATAGTTTAATAAGAAACTAAAAAGGAACTTTTGTTTATTATTATTAGAATTATATACTAATTAATATTAACTAATATTATTAATTTTCATATATTATTTTTTTTGTTTCCTAACCTAACATTTGTTTTTTAATATACGAATATATATATTTACAAAAAATTAATTTTTATATATTAGTCAAAACCTTAAATTGCCACTCCTCCTAATCCTAGACCCAATCCAGTTAGACCCAATCCACCAAATCCACCAAGTCCACCAAGTGCGCCAATGGGTAGAACTGCAAGAGGAATGGCTTCAGCGGGACTAATACGCTTAACCAATCCGACTTTATTTTCATCGCGTTTTTGTTTAGGATTTTCACCGCGTTGTTTTTGTTTATCATCAACGCCTTCACGCTTAAGGAGCGCGCCACCTGTTGAGAGAGAAGTTCCACTAAATCCAGTACCAAATCCAGTACCAAATCCGGTACCAAATCCGGTACCAAATCCGGTACCAAATCCACTACCAAATCCAAAGGTGCCAAGTCCAAGTCCAGAAGAAAGGATTGGAACGCCGAAGACTTGTCGTTTTTTAAGGGGCATAATTGGAGCATTGGGTACTGATTTTGTCTCAACCGGCGCAGAAATTGTAGAAGCGGTGAGAATTGAAACAATAATCATTAAAGAGAAAAGGGAAATAATAGATTTGTTATTAATGTTTTTGAAATGCATTTTTTTTGTTTTTTTTCTTTTCTTCCTTTTTTTTCCTTGGAGAAAAAGATTTGGAGTTTTAGAGTTTTATACTTTTGGGTATACTAAAGACGTTAAACGATCAAATAGGGATCATTGATGCTTTTTTTCTCATGCGAAAAGGCAAATCTTTACGATCATAATGTAATAATGAAAATGTTAATTTTGTAAGATCAGTTTCATTGAAAACGCATAATATTAAGATTATTATGCAAACTTTCGTATTAAAAATAAATACATTTGATTGTAATTTAGATATTATTAGATTTATTAGATTTATAAAGCAGGAAATAATCACTCAATAATCACCGATTTTATTTATGCAAATATGAATATGAATAGTGATGAATAATTACATGCATGTATCTAAATGTCATGCGAATTCGAAGAGGTGTAAATTTAAACATTAAGTTACGTCAGATCGAAAACTGATTTTGAGATGCGTCAGATCAGTTTATCATTATGCGTCAGATCGAAATGTGCATAATGAATACCGTATATACATTATAATAATAATAATTGGCTGAAACTAAGAAGAGGAACGAAGTGAAAGCTTTCAAGCCTTACTCTACGAGATTTCCAAAATATCTGGTTTACCGATTCAACAGATTTAGGTTCAGCATCCGGAAATTGAAATTAAATTAGGATCAATTTAGGATCAATGTTTAAATACCAGTTGTTAACTTTCTAATAACCCGAATGATTTTAAATATATTAGACCACTTTTTTAAATAGAATTTCCATTATGCTGACGATAGGATATGTTGATTTTATAGTTAACATACTTTAAAGACGCGATTTTTTTTATTAAATGATATAATTTTTAAAAAGGTTTGGTCGATGTACAATATAACGTGGAAGTCTTGATTTTTGAGGTCTGTTTTGATGAGATGTATTAGCAATCAAAGCAGTCGACGTGTGTGTTTGATTTTTAATACTGCAGTATGTTTTTTGATTACAAATCTAAAAATAGAGAAAAAAACAAATGGATTAATAAAGTATATGAGAAAGCTTTCTTTGCTCCGTTGATTA